CCCCCCCCACACACACACGAGGTGGCAGGTCTCTCTAGCTCTGCGGTTCAGTTCCAGGATGCCCCCTGGCCCACAGATCTAGGCTGCACACGGCCTGATCGACCATCAGCCCGCAGGGTTTCCTGTGTTGTTTCAGAACCCAGAGGGGGAGGGGGGTCATTATTTATTAGATGCCTTCAAACCACCTCAGGTGCCTCTAATCTCTCTCTCCCAGGCTGTTCCACGCCAGCTGACAATGACCCCCCACCCCAAGTATCCTTCCAGCGCCATAAATGTCCTGCTCATTCTGTCTCCTGAAACAAATGAAGATTTCTTCCCATTAGAGACCTCAAGGTCCCCTCAACCAGTAAGGCTTCTGATCTATATGTCTCAGTCCCTGTAAAATCTGAGGGGAGCCTGCTGTCTGTGCCATCCAGGCCGGCCTCTTCCCTCCCACCTCCTGCCCCTCGGAGCACCTCACCGTCCCTCCCGACTTCTCTCACCTTCTCCATCGGGGACGCCCATCTTCAGCAGCGACATCGTTTCCCTTTTCACACACTACTCAGGACACAAGCTTCCCCTAATAACAAACTGGACTCCGTTCTCCCAAATACTGTAGCTACTCTCAGAACATTTAAGACTAGACTTACTCGGCCCACGTATTGAAAGGGAATTTTATGTTAAAGCATCTTTTTAAAAAAGATGTTTTTATTGATTTCAGAGAGGAAGGGAGAGGGAGAGAGAGAAACATCCATGATGAGAAAGAATCATTGATCGGCTGCCTCCTGCACGCCCCCAACTGGGGATCGAGCCCACAACCCCGGCATGTGCCCTTGACCGGAATCGAACCTGGGACTCTCCAGTCCGCAGGCCGACGCTCTATCCGCTGAGCCACACCGGCCAGGGCCGAGAGGGAATTTTTCATTAGTAAAAGTCTTCATTTAAGGCAGGACCGTGGTTACGGCTCCTTGAAGACGCATGCCCTCCCTCCCTGGTCTGCTTGGGCATCTGGCCCAGGGCAGCGCTCAGGCGAGGTTGCTACCCCGTTGGTGTGGTTTCCTCTGCGGCTCCCACAGTGGCGAGTTCTTAACGGTACCGGCCCAGATGCAGCAATGGGGGAATTTCGTTGTAATTACTCCTTTTTCTTTCCATTTCTGTTTCCTCGTCATCCTGTTTAATGAGTACCTCTGTTTATGTGTATTTTCTGCAAAATGTGTATTGTGTGTGTACACATCCTTTTAATGTGTGTGAAGGAGAAACGGTCGGGCATCTCCCTCTGATTCTCTCCCCCCCTCGGCACTGCTTTCTTATTCCTTATTCACCGTGTTGCGGGGGTCAGGGGGGCACTAATCCCTGCCCTGGCACCTCAGTCCTTCTTGTCTGTATCCACATGTCTCAACTGTCCTCCCTCCGACGCTGGGCATTCAGGCTACCTCCACCGATGCCACGAATACTGCGTACACGTCCTGTGGACTTGAGCACTTCCGTGGGACAAACAACCACGAGTGAATTCGTTGATCCTGGGAAGGTTGCCATGTAACTTATCATCCAAGCGAGGACAGTTCAGGGCATGAGAGGACAAGAGGCATAACCAAGACTGTCCCAGGCGAACCGAGGGGTCTGGTCACCTCGCTGAAGAGTTCGAATACGTAAATATCGACAGAAAAGAACCAGCATGGCTCCCGCACCGCACCCCAGGCGGGCAGGGGGTGCCCATCGCCGTCCCCCACCGCACTTAGTGGTGACACGAGTACATAGCACTTCATTACTGTTTACTCCGCATTCCTCTGATCTCTAGCATGTCTGAGTGTCTCCACTCTGCTGGCCTGTCGGAGTTCCTTATTTGGAAATTATTCCTTTGCTTTGCCTATTTTTGTTGGGGTTTTCTTGCTGTTTGCTAGTTTCCTAGCTGTTAATCCTGTCAGTTTTAGACATTGCAAATATGTTCTCTGTTAGCTAAACTAATTTTGTCCACGCTGTTGAATTTGATCTTTCTACTCGAAGTTATTCGGGGTTTTCCCCTTAGAGTTTTGTGTTCTTAACATTCAATTTTAGAAGTATTTTCTTCCCTTATTTCAGAAAAACATTCCCCTTCATTTTCTCCCATTGACTTTTTATTTTTTAATTATTTTTAAATATAAATTTTATTTATTTTTAAATATATTTTTAATGATTTCAGAGAGGGAGAGAGAGATATATACATCAATGATGAGAGAATCATTGTTTGGCTGCCTCTCACACACTCCACACTGGGGATCAAGCCCACAGCCTGGGCATGTGCCTCTGGCCAAAACTGAACCTGGGACCCTTCAGTCCACAGGCCGACGCCCTATCCACTGAGCACACTGGCCAGGCTCCCATTGACTTTTTAGTTTTCCCCTGGAGAGTGCCCCCTCACCCCTCGTGGAATGCGGGAGGGAGGCGGTTTCCGAATTCCCTCAGGGCCCATCCTCCCAGTGATTTGTAGTCATCTTTACGGGGCAGGAAGTTCCCGTGTCCCGCTCCCAGTCCGTGCCCTCCTGCCTCTTGCTGCACATGGCTCTGTGCGGATCTCCATAACCCGTAGGGCACGCCTCCCCTCGGGGTTCCTCTTCAACACGGCTCTTCATGGAGTCCGTAATGAGCCCTGGCTCTCATAGAGATCTCTGCTGGGCTCCGGCCAGGACAGGCTGAGCTTAACTCTCGTTTCTTAGTATCGCACTCACTGTTTGATCAATAACCCTGAAGGGTCCTTCACAAAGTTAAAAATTTTATTCTAGAATTCAGAGTGGTACTTCCTTCCCATGCAGTTATAATTTGGTGAACGTTTTCAGCGTAAACTCTGAAAAACGAATGCAGCGCGCTGTGCCGTCCGCGAGGGGCCCCGAGTACACAGGCCAGGACGGTGCAGGCTGGCTCGGCCTGGAGGTAACTCGGGGAGCAGCCTGGCCTTCTCCATACCCACTCACTCGGGAGTCGTCCAAGAATCCTGGCTTGTATTCCCAGGCCGCCACCGGGCAGGCCACGGGTCCCCACGGGCTACCGACCCCCAGAGTCACCCCACCGGTCTCTCTCCCCACCAGGGCTTCACCCCAGGGGCGTCGGGCTCTCCCAGGCCACGCAGACGCCCCTGCCCTGGCCTGGCCTGGGCTTGTACCTTCCCAGCGCCCCCACCCACCTCCTCACTCTGGAGGACTAGGCGCAAAGGCTGCAAGCTCTCCTTCCTCCTTGTCCGGGTTTCCCCCGGTGTTTTCCTGTACAGCAGAGGGATTCCTCGGAGCTTCCTATCTGCCTGGTGCATGTGTTCCCAGGGCTGCGGTAACTACGTGTCGTAAACTTGGTGGCTTGAAACAACAGAAATGTACCGTCTCCCAGTTCCGGAGCCAGAGGCTGAGCCCAGGCAGGTGTCGCAGGGCTGTGCTTCCTGGGAAACCTGTGGGCGGGTGCTTCCCGGTCTCTCCCAGCTCCTGTAGCCTCGGGCAGCCGTTGGCTTGTGGCCACATCACTGCAGTCTCTGCCTCGTCATCACTGCTCTCTCTCCTTCTTGTAAGAACACCAGCCATATTGGATTAAGGGGTCAGGTTGCTTCCATCAGACCTCATTTTACCTTAACTAATGACACGTGCAATGACCCCATTTCCAAATAAGGTCTTACTCGGAGGTACTGGGGCCAGGGCTGCAACATATCTTTTCGGGGGGGGGGGGGGGCCCACAATTCAACCCCTCACACCTGGTGTGAGAGTATCTGGCCCCAGGTCCTTGCCTAAGGCCGGTGGCTCTGCAGGGAAACAGGCCGGGTTCGTCACTCACCCTCTGTATAAACCTGAGCGAGGCCCACAATTCAACCCCTCACACCTGGTGTGAGAGTATCTGGCCCCAGGTCCTTGCCTAAGGCCGGTGGCTCTGCAGGGAAACAGGCCGGGTTCGTCACTCACCCTCTGTATAAACCTGAGCGAGATCCTAGGCCACCTGCCTGTCTCACCTGTACAGTCACCACGCCTGGAGTCATTGCGGTATTAATGAGAGTCAGTTCCCACAAAGGTGAGTGTCCAGGAAACTGTAACCATGATCATTAACAGTGTGTGGAACAGAGCAGATACTCAGTGAATAAACGCAGTCACCACGTCCTCTAATAAATATTTACCGGCTGGCAGGCCCGGAACCAGAGCTAGTGAGCTTTCCCAGGGCAGGGAAGCCATGGCCACGGCCCTGAGACCCTGCAGCTCCCGGGCATCGTGGGAATTGCTGAGGTGGCCTGTGGCAGCTGCCCTTCCCTGCTCTGATGGAGGGAGATTTCTGGCACACACACACACACACACACACACACGGCCCCCACGAAGCATGGAATCCTGGCTGGCTCTGTGGGAATGTGAGGACAAAGCATGGAATCCTGGCTGGCTCTGTGGGAATGTGAGGTTGGAGCAGACAGGGACTCCACACCATTCTTGTTCTCTAGGCTGTGCGTGTGTGAGAGTGTGAATGTGTGTGTGTGTGCGCACACGAGCATGCAGAGGGCCGGGGACAGGGGCCAGAGGAGACAAGCATCTTTCTGGTGGAATATATTCAGCGGGAATGAACGTGCGCAACCAGAGCGTGGCTGGAGTTCGGGACCCTCCTGGTTTCGGTGAAGTCCAGATTCTCCTCCGGAGAGGCCGGTGTGGGCACAGCGAGGAGGTGGCACCAGAGCCCCGCGTCCAAGACAGAACTCTACCTGGAGGAGCGGGGCGACCTCATGACCCAAGTTTCCTCCTCTTCCCAGTGGCGCTGATCCCATCGGCCGCATCAAGAAAGAACACGGTCGGGGTGCCAGCTGTTAGTATGTATGTCCCGCTGTTGCTAGTCCTTGAAGATGCGTTTCCACAGCACGTGACAACGTGTCGAGCACGGCCACAGCTTTGCTCTGTTGTGATTTTCATTTTTACAACAAGAAGTGAAAAATTACTATTAGAAACGAGGGAGTATGTCTACGGCCCGGTGTTCATCGGCCACAGGCTCAGACCTGCATCGCTTACCCTGTATTTCATCCACACCCACGTCATGTGCTTCCTTCCAGGGGTTTCCTCTGCTTAAGAACAAACTCTGACTGGCCTGTGTGGCCTCCTTGGACTTCAAACAAAACAAGTCCTTCCACGGAGAAGCTCACCAGCAACTCCTTTAAGTTTCAAGGAGATACACAAAATGATGCGGATTTTCAGGAAAGAAGTTCATGATGGAATTTCAGCCCAGACCCACTCGGCTGAGTCAGACATCGCTGCGTCAGGGACCGTGTGGGGCTCAACACCGACACTGCACCAAGCGAGCAGCTTTGCTGTTCAATGTGTGTCTCCAGTAGAGCCAGGAGGGCAAGAACAGATGTGCACAGACACCCGGGGGGCTGCCGGGGGTGCAGAGTGCGATGAGGTCCAAGAATAAAGAGCTCACATCCTTTGGGGCAAGAAGAGCGCCCGACGTCCTTTTTCTCGTGTGGGAGAGATCGGGGCCTGTAAAGAGAAGGGACAGCAAACTGCAGTGAGTCAGGAAAGCAAGCCCGGACTGGCATGGCCTGGATCCGAGTGCTACAGTGATTACTGCATTGTTTCCCTTCTGGCTTATTTACTGCATTTGCATTTACTCAGGCAAGTGTAACTCTGCAATACAGGGCATGAGATTATATTGTCTTAACAGGATTTTGTAAAAGTGCTGAATTCCACGTTCAGAAACCTAGATAATTATTAGCAAAAGCTGACCAATCATCTCACTGATAAACCACACGGTAAATATAGAGCCTATTGGAGAGCATTTAATTCACAGTAAAAAGTCCCTAAAACTTCACCTGTAGCTTGGATGGCAGCCAGGACGAGGTCAGTACTGTTGGCAGGTCCCCACACCTATTATGTTCATCACAGTGGCATTTTAGGTGAACATGGCAACTCCTTTCAGAAAACCATTTCAATACATTTTCAACAAATCAAAGCCATAATGAGATATCGCCTCATACCCCTTAGGAATGGCCTCCATCAAAAAAACAAAACAAAACAAAAAGCAGAAAGAACAGGCGCTGGGGAGGATGTGGAGACACTGAAGCCCCGTCCCCTCTGGGGGACGTAAAACGCTGCAATGCTCTGAAAACAAGACAGCGCTTCCTCAGAAACAGGCCACCTCCCTCAGCTCCCACTGCAGCGCGCCCACCCGAGAGAACTGGAGACAGGATTTGAAGAGACTGGCACGCTGGTGTTAACGCAGCATCATTCCCCATCGCCAAGACGTGGAAGCAAATAAATGCCCGTCAACAGATAAAGGGAATGTGGCCTGTGCATGCAGTGGAGTATTATTCAGCCTTGAAGAGAGAGAGAGCAACCCTGCCACATGCGACAACGTGGACGAACCCGCAGGACATGGACATCAGTGACCCCTACGTGAAACAAACCAGTCACACAAAGGCAAGTATGTGGAAGTGATTCCTCTTATCTAAGGTGCTAACTAGTCAGACTCTTAGAAACAGAAAGTAGAAGGGTGGTTGCTGGGCTGGAGGGGGAGAAGCCGGGGTGGGGCGGGGGGAGGGCTGCTATGCAATGAGCATAGTTTCAGTTCTGCAAGACGGGAAGTTCTAGAGACCTGTTGCACAGTACTGTCCGCACAGTTAACACGGCTGTGCTGTGCTCTTAAAATGGTTATGATGGTAAATTCTACCTCATTTTTTAACCACAATTTTAAAAACCTCAAAATATAAAATAATGTCATGTTATTTCCTAATATTAATGGTTGTATTTCTTGTTCTTGTCTATTTTTGTTTTGTCATTAAGTGCAAATATGGGTGTATTTAATTCTGACCCATGTCGGGGGGATGTTAACTGCCCACAAGCTATAAAGGAACCCTGTAACTTACAAATGTTAGATAATTTCAGATCACACTGAAGATCCTCTGTCTGCCTTAAAGGGACAGGAAGTGGTATGAACTCATCTCCCTGTCACTTGCAGTAATAACTTGCAGCAGTTCTTGCCACTATCGTACTATCATCCATTCAAAAACCATTCGATGAGCGCCAGTGGAATACTAGTCACTGTCCAAAGCAGAGAGTCAGGAGGGAAGAGGTGGCCATAACAAATAATCGTGTTCCTCGGAAAATTAAAGACATG